CTGAGGGGAGCAGCGGGCGGGTCAGGAGAGGTCTGCTGTGCCATGTGGATCTCCTCCGGAGCAGGCGGGAATCGAACTCATGCGGAAGTGGTTTCAGCTTCTTAGTGCTGTGCTTTAACCCGCTGGGCCACTAGGGAGGGCCAAATAAATAAATCTTTTAAAAAAATGTATGAAGAAATGCACATATATAATATGGGCAACTGTATTTCAACACCTTTATGTCTAACCAGTTATTCTTTGGCCATTAGAATACTGTGCCTTAGGAATAATGAGTAAAGCATCAGCAAAAGCTTGAACTCCCAGACGGGCTCGTCCTTGTATACTGTGCTTGTATGTAACAAGAGCTTCAGCAATCGCCACTTCAACTGCACCTGCACCTGGAACCACACAGCCTGTTGGAAGAAAAAATACTAATGGCAAAACAAGTCATACAACAGCAACAACAAAGAGATAAAAGCAATTAGCTGCTCAAACCACTTGTCTATGTCAAAAGTGTATTTAAATATATACAGAAATAAAGTAAGTACATGACCCAGATGAAGCAGCCTGAAGTTATATGCCATTAAGTAATTCTGCCTGGTATGGACAAATGGATACAAACAGCTTTTTTCATTATTTACCCTATGACAAATAAGAGTAGACATTTCTTCCATTTTCACCTGATTCCTTTATGACTACATGTTAAAAAGTGGTTATTCAGAATTTACAGTGGCAGGAAACTTAATTATGAGTATCTAATTTTTGCTGAGTTGCCAGGTTCTACCCCATCAACTCACTTTGGTCCCACCAGTAGTGTCAACAATGGCAAAGTCTAGATTCTTTCACTTAGCATAATATTTTCAAGATCATCCAGGTCTTATCAGTATTTATTCTTTTTTGTGGTGAAATAAAATTCCATTATATGGATACACCAGATTTTATTTATCCATCCTTCAGTTAATGAATTGTTTCTACTGTTTGGCTATGATGAATAAAAAGTTGCTATGAACATTTGTGTATAAGATCTTAGTGTGTATATGTTTTCAACTCTCTTGTGGACTTATCTAAAAGTTGACATGCTGGGTCATAAAGAAACTCTATGTTTAACTTCTTGAGGAACTGTCTTCCAAAAGTGCCCCAGCAATGTCTGAGAGTTCTTACTTCTCTTTACCAATATTATCCAACTTTTTGGTTATAGTTTCCAGACAGTTGTGAAATGTTACCTCATAGTGGTTTTTATTTCCACTTCCTTAATAATTAGAGATGTTGAGAATTTTTTATGTGCTTATTGTTCTATTGGAAATGGGTATTTCTTTGTTTTTAAAATATTTTTTTATTAATACATACAGAACTGGGGTACTGGACAGAGGTGGGGGGGGGTAGCAGTGAGAGGATTCACCAGAGACAGAGTAGGGAACAGAACAGGCAAACTGGCTGAAATTTACTGCCGAGGGGGAGCAGTGGGTGGGTCAGGAGAGGTCTGCCACACCATGGGGGTCACCCCCTGGCTGGGGATTGAACTTGTATTGCAGTGTCTGCGATAGCTCCACAGTGCTGTGCTATAACAATTGCGTGACCAAGGAGGGCCTGGAAATGTGTATTTCTATAAACTTTCCACCCTAGCTTCTTTTAGAAGGGATCTGGTAACTTATCAATAAATAATAAATGTTAATATTCTTTTCTATCCTTCTTAAAGTTGTATTGCATCTGAAGTAACAGAATGAATTTGAAGCTATAAAGGATTTTCAGATTTAAAAAATAAAAGTCTAAAAATTTTAAAATGATATTATAACATTAAAATGCTTTATTTCATAAACATAAATCAATCAAAAGGGAAGCATATTATTGGAATGTTTTTAAATTACAAATTTCCCAAAGTATATTGAAAGAATAGTAACTCTTCAATCTTTTAAGATACTATGCAAGCCATGATATTTTTATTACCACTTTCAAAACACATACTTATCACAAAAAAGAACCTACCATCTTCAATGGCATTTTTGATGGCACGAAGTCCATCCCTAACAGCATCCTTGATTTGGGTGAGAGTATGTTTATTTGGCCCCTTAACTAACAAGGTGACAGAGCGAGGGTTAATACAGTTCTCAACAAAAGTGAATTTTTCTTCACCCTAAAAGTAATACAAAAAGATATAATTTTAGTATGTTATATCACTATGTAATCAAGACCTAGATTATAATATCAGAAATCAACCTTCAGGTGAATTTTTCCTCTTAAGAATTATTATCTTAAAAACAGTAAAGCTATATTTGAACTCTTAACAAATATTTGAAATAAAGTATGAAATCTCTCCTATTGATTATTCATATCTCAAAATGTAAAGCCTGAATTAAAAGGTTTAGTATTTAAAAACACAATAAGGTTTACTGTTCACTTTATACCCACTGCTCATAGAAATACTCACTAATGTGTACTCATGTACAAGACCAGCATATCCCAAGAAATCTACACTGAGATCTTCAAGACTATTCACAGCCACTCCACCACAAGCAAGAGAGAGTCTGAAATTACATATATATTACTATAGCTTAGATTGTAGAAAACCTGAAGACTAATTTATTAAAGATGAAAAGACATCTAACACAGAAGAGTGCATTGCCACTGTACTGCATGGTTTTTAAAATCTGTTTTAAGAAGATGGAAACCTTCCTTGTATTTTAACAAAGTTCTAAAGTAGATTAAAATCTTGACTTTTGAATTTTTAGAACCTTGAGGGTTTTTTTTTTAAGATTTTATTTATTTATGCATACAGAACTGGGATACAGGTCAGAGATGCGGGGGTGGTGAGAGGATTCACCAGAGACAGAGTGGGGGACAGAGCAGGCCGACCAACAAAGTACACTGCTGAGGGGAGCAGCAGGCAGGTCAGGAGAGTCTGCCGTGCCATGTGGGTCACCTCCAGGGCCAGGGATCAAACTCATGCTGAAGTGGCTTTAGCTTCTTAGTGCTGTGCTTTAACCCACTGCACCATCAGGGAGGGCCATAGAACCTTAAGTTTTAAAATGTCAACTGTTGTATGTTCAAATTCAAGAACTAAAATTTGGAGTTTGTACACTACTATTTTTCTCAACATTTATATATGAGCTAACAAGAAAACAAGTAGGATGATTTCAATTTAATCTGTCAGCAATAATAATCGGGACACACAATTATCTGAAAGCCTACCTTTCCATATTTCTTCTTTTTGCTCTGCGAAGAGCTACTATGCCATGTCTTGCAAGAGCATCTAAGGAAAATGGATCAATTCCCTATAATGAAATTAGCATAAAAGTTATTAGCATGTTTTAATCCGGTAGTTCTCAAACATTTTGGTTGCAGCAATGTTTCAGACTAAAAAATTAAGAACTCACAGAGATTTTTGTTATATAAACTGTATAATATGAATGAGGAATTATGAGTACAAGAATTTTTTTAATTTATTAAACCACTTAAAATAATATACACTTTTTATGTTGATATGAATATACCATTTCAAAATGAAAATGTATTATGCTTTCCTAAACAAAAATTTAAAATATACAGTGAGTAGTAGTATTATTTTACACTTTCTGCAAATATTTTTAAAATCTGTGTTACTAGAAAATAGCTGGATCTCTTATCTGCTTCTGCACTCAATTTGGCATGATATAGTATTTTGATTTAAATATATGAAAAAAATTAATCTCACACAGATAAGTATAAAGGAAGGAAAAAACATTTAAATAGCCTTTTCATATCAATATGAGTATACTGATTTGATACTACAAATACATGGTAGTTTCTTAAAGGTCAGTTGCAACGTGGAATAAGGAAGCATATCAGTGGAAGATTCATGCTCTCACATTAAAAATCCATTTGTCTTTTTGCACTGTGATTGAATTCTTTATTCATGCATCATTTTGTTAGAATACCCTTTAGTCACTGAGAAAATATTAATTCACTAAATTAGGTAGAACTTCCAAATACTGACAATTTCATGGTTATACAGTATCAAAAGTATTACATTTGCTACTACCATCACCAATATTTTCAGAAAAGCCTTTTAACTATTAGAAATCTGCCACATTCACAGTGGCATACACAAGTTTTCCTAAGTTCAAATCTTTGTTTGAAAGATCAAATGCCATTATGAGCAACAAATACTGTCAGCCATTTTCCTTGAAAGGACAGGAGAAAATCTAGCAAATACCTCTATATAAATAATTATAGCTTGTCTGTCATTCTTTCAAATAAAAAAATGATGTTCCATAAAAAATAATGCATAATATCTAGTTCATATTCAATTACACAGAAGTATGTAGTTTAGTTCACAATTCAATTACACAAGTACTTTCCTTCAAGACAACCATATTTTGACATGCAGCAAGAGTGCTCTGTGCATATTTCACTTTTTGTCTCACAGAATTATAAAAGGATGTGCATTTAAAGATCAAAATTTAATAAAATTGATGTTTTGCTGCTTCATCGAAACATTCTTAAATGGATCTGCCATTTTTTTAACTGCTACTGTGTGGGGGTGTGGCAATAAAAAATTATGACTAGTAATGGAGTTTAGTGCTACCGCACTGATTTGTACTAAGGCATCAGTAATTTTTTCCTTGTGTTGTTTCTGAAACATCATTGAACATGTCAACATATGTAAAAGGCATTATTATTAATGTAAAAAAGTTTTGACCTAATGGACTCCATAAAAATTTCAGAGTCCACAGACCACACTTGGACAAACACTGAAGAACATTTCAAAAGAGTTAAAATCTAAAATTTCTTTCTCACCTTCTGATTAATGACAACAAATCCTTTATTAGACTGAGCACAGACTTTATTTTTCAAGTCTATTATTTTTTGTACTCGATCTTCAATAAATTTCCTTTCAGCTTTTACCAATTTTTCTTTCTCTTCTGCAGTCTTATAAAAAAAACCAGAGCTCACCTCTCTAAAAGATACATAAAAATAAACGAGTACAGGTAGTGTTGCTGAGGGGGAAAAGGTAGGATTTACACTAAACATTTGGGAAAGAAAAAAAGGTTTAAAAAAACTTTAAAAAAAAAATCCAAAAAACTGACATACGTACGTCTTCTCATATTCTAGTGATACGTTACATGTAAGTATAAATGCATCTTCTACTCGTTTCTTCATATCTGGATGACGGGCACCATGATCCAAAATTAATCCTCTGACCAACCTGTTAAAAATACTGTCATGTTTCTTACTCTGAATATACACTCTAAAATTTGGTATAAAATTAGAGTTATACTCATAAAGTTGTAACAGACTGCTAGGGCAACACTGATTTCTCACATCAACTTCAAACCTAATACTTAATTAGTAAAATTAGTAAAGAGAATCTACTTTAACACAATATGACTGTGAAATACAGCAAAGTCAACTTCAAATGAATTATCCTCTAAATTATGTGGCTCAAACAAAATGACTGCTGATCAAGAAATAAAACATGGGCATACATGAGTTCCTTAAGAACACTGTTCAAATTAACTATATGGAGTAATGCAAATGTCCAATAATAGATTCTAGTTCAGAAATAATGACCCAAATATCTGATGGTCATGAAAACTATACATTAAGATGGGAAAATGTTTCAGGGGTAGCTGATAAGCACAGAATGACAAACATACAAAGCAATGATAACTATTCTTTTAAAAATGTTGTACCTTGGACTGAGATGAAAAAAAATGCACAAAATGATGTAAATAAACTATTATGTTATTTTTTTTTAATGTTGCACCTTTGAATTGAAAAGGGAAAATGGAAGGAAACTAAGAGTAGGGTTATGCTTGGGTGGCAGGAATACATATTAATAGTGAGAGTGCAGGCCAGGGCTTTTATTCATTTTTACAAATGTTCTTTTCAGAGTAAATATTTTTGTGACTTTTTAAAATTCATGTATACCCAATTATAAATCTTTTATAACCAATATTTGTTACACATTAAAGCAATAATTTTTAAATAGTTGATTATAATTATAATTTAAATCCTAACTGAATGTGAAAATAATTTTACAAAGAAACAAGCAAACTATGTTTACTGTTCTCCACCTTTTCAAGTCTCCTTTACATTTGGCCCCTTCTCCTCACTTTCAGTGAAGGACTTTGCATCTCTAAGAAAACAGAAACACTGTTTTATTACTACTTCTGCCAAAGTGCCTGCACTTACCTGAACCTCATCCTCCCCTGGAAGGTTGTGTATTCCCTTTCCCTTCTTTGTTCCCACATGGTATCATATTCCCCACGTCAATTCTTTGAATTCACAGAAGCATTGTCTTCAGGATAAAAACTCACCACAAAAATATTTTTTTTCCTTAACCCATTTCTATATTCCTACTTCCCTATTCCTCTTTATTGCCTAACACCTAAGTTGTCTACATTTGCACCCTCACTTCTTTCCAAAACATCCTCTCAAGTCCAATCTTTCATACACTTTACTGAATCAGCTTTCATTAAATCAACCAAAAGATAAATATTTGCCAAATTGGTCAATTCTCAGTTCAGTGCAATCTTCTCACACATTCAGCAGTATATGGCATAACTATTCTTTCTTGAAACACTTTCTTCTTTTAGCTTCTGCAACATTACTGTCTCTTGTCTTTCCTCCTATCTCACCAACCAACCTCTTTCATTCGCCTTTGCTAAATCTTCATCTTTTCAGTTTCTAAACATTGAGTTTCCAGGGTTCAATTCTTAAACTTCTTCTTTTCCCTATCTATATCCACTTTCCAGATGATCTTATTGAGTCCAATAGCTTTAAGTTACCCATATACAGCTGGTTCCTAAGTACAGATATATTTCTGGTCCAGACCTCTATTCTGAACTCTGAACACACCTTTCCAATTCCCAACTCAGTATTTCCACAGGGATAGCTAATAGGCATCTAACATGCCCCCAGATAAAACTCTTAACTTACTTTTCCCAAGCCTGTTGCTCCAGGCCTTCTCCATCTCAAGAAATGACAACTCTACTTTTTCAGTTTCTCACACAAAACCCAAGAGGCATCCCTGATTCTTACCTCTGTCATAACCCATCAACAAGTGCTATTTTCCTTTCTAAGTAGACCCTTAGTTAAAGCATATTTCTCACCTGAATTAAAATAAATTCTAACTGGTCTCCTGTTTCTACCCTTGCACCTCACATGCAACTCAACAACCAGATCTTCCTGAAATGTAAATCTAGAACTTGTTACCCTCAGCAGTGATAGGCTAATTTGAACCAATTCTTCTATCAAAAACAAAAACAAATGCTAAATTTAAAAAAATAACAGCCCTAAAAACAGATTATGTTCGGTGAAATAAATCAGAAGAACAAAGAAAAATATAGGATGTTTCACTTGCAGGAGGAATATAGGGAACCAAAAAAGGGATCAGAACAACTAATAATAATAATAAGTAAATAAACAAAATTAACAGGCAGCTATAAATCAGAGACATCTTGCAGGTGAGGGGAAAGGACAGATATCAAAACAGAGGGAAGAGCACAAGGGACTACAGTGATGGTGCACTGGGGAATTGGTGGTAGGAATTTTATGGGGACTACAGCTAAGAGGAGAAAGCAAATATTGCACAAAAATGAACAATGATGTAAAAAACATGTGAGGGCCCTCCCTGGTGGTGCAGCAGGTTAAAGCACAGCACTAAGAAGCTAAAGCCACTTCCGCATGAGTTGGATCCCCGCCTGCCCCGGAGGTGACTCCCATGGCTAGCAGACTTCCTGACCCACCTGCTGCTTCCCTCAGCAGTGTACTTCAATGATCTGCCTGTTCTGTTCCCCACTCTGTCTCTGGTGAATCCTCTCACCGCCCCTGCACCTCTGGCTTGTACCCCAGTTCTGTATGCATGAATAAA